CCGTGGCTAGGCCCTGCCGCCCCACCCAGTTTCTCCTCATTGTCTCACTGGCTGTAATTGACAGCAGTGGGAGCCAATGTGTCTCACTCAATGAGGAGTGACCCAGGACAGCTGAGGCTCCCATGAACATCGCTGGATCAAGAGGGGGCTCAGGTGAGTATTAAGGGGCTGTGAGGGGAGCAGCACACAGAAGATTGCATGAAGTTAAAAAACCTTCAGCCTTTACAACCACTTTAGAAAAATCTTTTTGAGATATTGCACCTGTTCTTAATTGTTTTATAGTCCACATCTCCTGGCCTAGCCTCACATCAGCACACAATCGGTTAACTCATCCTCTGGAACCCACAGGACCACCTCTTCCTAGCTCAATAAAAGACAGCCCCTCCCTCAACTGAAGCGCTATTTTTTTTGTGGTCACTGTTGATTGCAGTAGGTAAGGTAAGCCAGGAAGAGTGGACAAATATTTCATTTTGTCATCAGATCCTCAAGAGGCAACTTTTAGTGGATTACCAGGGTGTTTAGATTGGCATGCAGGAAGTAGGCCTTCCTGCTCCGGAACAGATACCACCGCATTCGACCAGAAGGGTGGCAGTCTTTGGGGCAGTTATGCCAGGATTTCAGTGGAAGATATATGGAAGACAACTTGCTGAAGTTCTTGTGAGGCCTTCATTCGACTTTACCAGCTAGATGTGTCGTCAGCAAGATCTGCAATGTTTGGGACAGGAGACATAAATTCCTGGTCTTTAGCAGCTTTTCTCGATTGTCAGTGTCCCTTTTATTGTGTTCTTTCCTACCCAATTATTCAGCTAGTTATATGCTGTTGTGTGCTGACGTGAGGTGGGCCGAGAATATGAAAATTGTTATCAAATACTTCCCTTTCTTGGCCTATCCTCACGTCAGCACAGGACTCCCTCCCTAGTGGCCCGTCGCAGGCTAGGTTATAGAACACTTCAGTTGGGGAGGGGCTGCCTTTTATTGAGCTTGAAAGAGGTGGTCCTGTGGGTTCCAGAGGAGGAGTTAACCCATCGTGTGCTGATGTGAGGATAGGCTAGGAAAGGAAAATTACGGTAACTAATTGATAACAAATTTCTGTAATTTGGGTGCTTAATTTAGTTTTAATGTGTTGCAATTGGTGATATGTAATTGATGTGTGTGCTCTCTCTTTCTCTATCTCTCTCTCTATAAATGTGATTATATACAGCAGCGGTCACTAAATGGTGGGCCACGGTCCGAGAACAGCCCAGCAGTGCTCCCTTCCAGACCACCAGCCTGCAGTGACAGATCTGCCGCTGAGCAGGGTGGTCGCCACAGTAACATGACATCACAGTGTGTGCTCCCTCCCACCGCCGCTGTGTGTTCTTCTCAATGTCCAGCCCTCCCTCCATCCTCCGCACCTATAGGAGAAGGGAGAGAGAAGCTGGATCTGCTCTGCCTCCCCCTGTGCCCACCCACACTCCAGTCCGCGCAGCTTCAGAGGATGATGTGTGGGCAGGAAACTGAACACAGCTGCCGACAGATCTGATGCATCTGAATAAGTCACATGAGTCCAACCTACCTTTCACCCACCCCTCCCTTCCTTCCTTCCTTGCTTCATTCCTTCCACCCCTCCCTTCCTTTCTTCTACCCTCCCTTCCACCCCTCCCTTCTTTCCTTCCACCACTTTATCCCTGCCTTCCACCCAACGTTCCCTCCTTTCTTCCATCACCCCCTCCCCCCCTTCCTTCCACCCACCCCTCCCTTCCTTCCTGCCACTCCTTCCTTACACCCACCCCTCCCTTTCTTCCTTCCACCCACCCTTTGCTTCCATCCACCCAGCCATGACAGCTAACTTCTGGGTTTGGACTGAAGCCTGAACCCAACCTCATCACAACATAGCATCTTTCTACATTTACTCACATAACAAATCAAAACCACTGAAAGAAGACAATGCTGCAAGGCTTCCGTTTGCCAGGTTCTGCAGTATGTACTGGAGTCTGAGCAGGTTGCCAGTAGACTAAAATCAGCACCTGTCACAGTAGGTCTTGCTCTGATCGAGGTCTGATGGCGGCAGCACTTGCCCAATACAGCATTGCTGGACTGGCCCAGGGGGCAATTGCAAACCTGCCCCCTCAGTCCTGTCTGCCTCTGCCTATTCATATGTTCTCCTGCCTGTATACCCCATCTGCTCTCCCCTCTGTGTACCTAACCAATAAATGAATACTATTTTGCTATTAATATATGTACATGCTCTATACACACAGGACACATTTTAAAACTCCCACTAGAAAAAACATAGTCCAGATTGCCCTTCTCAATTAAACCTCAAAATTTTCTTTTATCACCATATTTACTGTATTACAGTAAACAGCAGGTAGTAGAGCAATGTGGAGACTTCCAGCTTCATCATCTAGCCTGCCACCCCCAGCAAAATGTCCACTCACCTACTGTAGAAATATACACAAGAATATCTCTGCTTCTGCATGACAGAGTGAATTGTGAGTCACAGTTTTCTTAATTGAAAATCTCAGCATGTTTTCCCCACAAAAAAAAACACAACTTCAGCTCAGCATGGGTTTGGCTGGGAATGAGTCTGCACATTTTGAGTTTGAGTAGGGCAATCGACTCCAGAAAACAAATGTAGAAATGGATGGAGTAATCCTCATTTTAACTGAATTTGCAATTCCAAGCTCAGGATTGTAGTTACCAATTAATACAATTATGATGTGTAAAAATCATGTATTACCTCCAACATTCTCTCTCGGTTTTAATGAAAAAATTGTAGATGTGATCCAGGAGGAGACAATGTGAATATTTAGATGTGAAGAGGCACTGCAAGCCAGCACAGGGCTATGGAGCAGATGCCTCCTGAGCCCCATGCAGAAGGGAATCAATGAATGGAAACTGGGTGGTACACAGTGTTCTACAGCAAAATGAGAGTGTAGCCAAAATGTAGAGTTGGTTTTTGCTCTATTTTGGGTAAATCTGATCAAGTGCAGGCTCTGCATTAATATGGCACGGCCTAGCAGAAAATGATATTGTTAGGCAGTAGTACATACAAATATAACCCCTTTCAAAAACACTTCTCCCCCCTTCCCCAGCCCACATATTTGAACATCATTCGCTTTTTCTATGTACTCTCCAAAAGGATGATCAGAATTTGCAGCTTCTAGGCAATTCTATGTTTTACATTTTTGGCCGTTTTATTTTTTTTTTTGTTTTTTCAGTAGGAAAAGGTATACAATTCATACAAAAATAGTATTGCATATTATCAGTCAAATACAAGTAGGGAGTACAACACCTTCAGAGCATATTAAATGATGAATACCATCATAGAAAACCAAAACATTTTGAGGAAAAGAAAGAAAAAAAAATGGCAGGTAACCTATCAAAGTAACATTTGTATATTATTGGTAAATTCCCATAGTAGGGTCTTGGTAAACAGATTTTAATAATTCAGGTAATGTTTTTCATTTTTCTTTTAGGAATTCTTAGGACTATACTGCATGTGGCGGAAGATTTATTATGGGGTTCTTTACAGTAAACTAATCTCTGGACAGATAAAAAGGACCATTTATACCAGTAATATATTCAATTAAAATGGCTAAATGTATATTTTTATACTACTAGATTAAAGTCATTAAAATAAATATTAAAGATGAATTGCAGATTTTCCTTCAGCTTGCACAGTTATACAATTTTTAGCCTCTCCTGTAATTGCTTAGTCTGATTTCATTGCACACCATAAGCTTCTCATTGTGGGTTAGAAGCTGCAACTCATTGGCTGGAGTCTGCATCATTTCCTGTCAGGGGGCCATCCAGCATCACCTAGCTTATTTATTATTAAAAAAAAAATTCCTCTCCAGCCTTATTGGCCCTGGTCCACCCCCTTCATTTATTGGATTTCATTTTTTTTCATAGAGGCTCATTTCATGTGGGCAGTACCTAGGGCAGTATGAAGGCAAATGCAGTCTGCTCAGGAGACCCTACTCCTCGAGACAGACATCCACTAATCAAGTCATTTTGCTGTTTGCATAACTCCTCCCAAGGGCCAGCCCTCTGCTTACATCAGCCCTAAGGGTTGAGCACTTGGGAGGAATCCTAAGGCAATGTGCTGTGATTTTTTTTCAGGAAGCCATGTACAGCACCCTGACAGCCCCCCCTGCTCCCCCCCCCCCCCAACCACCCCCCCAGATATGATGTACCTACATTGCATAGAGAAGCACAGAGTAACCAGGGAAAGCATCATATAAGCAGATTAATCTTCAGTTTGAAAAAAAATTTGTTGCCTGCAAGAAATTAGATACTCACCTCTCACAATACCTGCACTCTGGTCTTGTCTGCAGAAATGAAACCATTAAATGAGAATCATGCAAAATCTGACACTTCTGGCAGTGCTGAATTCCTGGTCCCTTTGCTGTGTCCTGTAGTAACATATGAGCTGGTGGGAGGAACCAAAGAAATCAGCAGTAGAACAAAGGAACTGACACTCCCAAAAGTGTCAGATCCTGTAGGACCTTCAGCCTTTTCCCTTTAATTCTGTAGAGATAAGAGACATCGCCATCATGAGAGGTGAGTATTCAGTTTTCTTCTCAAACTGAAGTATCTTCTTCATGGACTGTTTGTTTTTAACATTTACTAGGGCAGTGGTTCTCAACCTTTCTAATGCCGCGACCCTTAATACAGTTCCTCATGTTGTGGTGACCCCCAACCATAAAATTATTTTTGTTGCTACTTCATAACTGTAATTTTGCAGTGGGAGGAGTAGTGCCACGTCACTGGTGTCAGTGGGGAGGAATAGTGCCACGTCATTGGTGTCAGTGGGAGGAATAGTGCCTCATCATTGGTGTCAGTGGGAGGAATAGTGCCCCATCACTGATGTCAATGGGAGGAATAGTGCCCCATCATTGGTATCAGTGGAGGAATAGTGCCCCATCATTGGTGCCAGTGGTAGGAATAGTGCCCCATCATAGGTGTCAGTGGGAGGAATAGTGCCCCATCATTGGTGTCAGTGGGAGGAATAGTGCCCCATCATTGGTGTCAGTGGGAGGAATAGTGCCCCATCGTTGGGTGTCAGTGGGAGGAATAGTGCCCCATCGTTGGTGTCAGTGGGGGGAGGAATAGTGCCCCATCATTGGTGTCAGTGGGAGGAATAGTGCCCCATCGTTGGTGTCAATGGGAGGAATAGTGCCCCATCATAGGTGTCAGTGGGGGGAATAGTGCCCCATCATTGGTGTCAGTGGGGGGAATAGTGCCCATCATTGGTGTCAGTGGGGGGAATAGTGCCCCATCATTGGTGTCAGTGGGGGGAATAGTGCCCCATCATTGGTGTCAGTGGGGGAATAGTGCCCCATCATTGGTGTCAGTGGGGGGAATAGTGCCCCATCATTGGTGTCAGTGGGGGGAATAGTTGCCCATCATTGGTGTCAGTGGGAGGAATAGTGCCCCATCACTGGTGTCAGTGGGAGGAAAAGTGCCCCATCCTTGGTGTCAGTGGGAGGAATAGTGCCCCATCACTGGTGTCAGTGGGAGGAATAGTGCCCCATCATTGGTGTCAGTGGGGGGGAATACGGCCCCATTATTGGTGTCAGTGGGAGGAATAGTGCCCCATCATTGGTGTCAGTGGGGAGGAATAGTGCCCCATCATTGGTATCAGTGGGAGGAATAGTGCCCCATCATTGGTATCAGTGGGAGGAATAGTGCCCCATCATTGGTATCAGTGGGAGGAATAGTGCCCCCATCGTTGGTGTCAGTGGGAGGAATAGTGCCCCATCGTTGGCATCAGGGGGAGGAATAGTGCCCCAACATTGTGTCAGTGGGAGGAATAGTGCCCCATCGTTGGTGTCAGTGGGAGGAATAGTGCCCCATCGTTGGTGTCAGTGGGAGGAATAGTGCCCCATCGTTGGTGTCAGTGGGAGGAATAGTGCCCCATCGTTGGTGTCAGTGGGAGGAATAGTGCCCCATCATTGGTGTCAGTGGGGGGAGGAATAGTGCCCCATCATTGGTAATAGTGACACAATGATTGGGCACTATTCCTCCCACTGACACCAATGATACTTACCTTGCTGACCCCTGCTCCAGCCTGGGCTCGCTCGCTCGCTCCCTCTCCCATGGTACAAACACTTACCGGTCAGATGGCTTCCTTCTCCGGCCGCTTTCCTCCTCTTCACTCGCTCGTGCTTCGCGGTGCCGCTCGGCTCCTCCTTTCCAAGCTCCACCTCCTCGCCGGTGATTGGCCGCCTGTGTGCCTCTCTTGAGCTACAGTTCCGGCGGCCAATCACCGACGAGGAAGGATTGATCCCGGGGGTGTGTCCAGATGACAGGAACGGCATGTCATCCCGCCCACACCTGCAGACGGATCAAGGAGCGGTGTCTCGGTTCCTAAGGCCATCGGAAATATGTGTTTTCCGATGGTCTTAGGCGACCCCTGGGAAAGTGTCGTTCGACCCCCAAAGGGGTCACGACCCCCAGGTTGAGAACCGCTGTGCTAGGGGAACAGAGCAGCTTTAGCTACCTGATTTCTACCTTTATATCAGCTTTCTGTAACTCTCTGCACAAAATGACTGAGTAAGGGGGATACCCTGCATTTCCCTGTGAATGTAATGCTGTGACCAATGCTCTTTATATTTGTAGGCTCTTGAGTCCTGGGCACAGTTTTTAAAACTGTACAGGGACAATGGATATTTGTTCCAGCACTGTTTTTAAACAGCACCCAGGCTCAGTGGCATCTGCAGGCCCCCACACTGCCACTGGCACTGGAAAGATTGCTGTCAGTGAAAGGATCACCTCCTGGGCTTCCAATACTTCAACAGATCTCTCCTTAGAAGGGAATGTAAACACAATGCTTCCACATTGTGTTTATATTGGAAATATAGTGATGTCAGACCACCTCCTATCAGTACAAATGCTCAGGCAGAGCTGTCTCTGTCCAACCTTCACCTACAGAAATAGATCACTGCTATAGTGATCTGTTGCTGGCTCATTGCAGCCAGCAAAAGATCACTATTAGATGCAATTTGCTGTTTCAAAAATAAAAATTGCAATATTGAGTTGGCTTCAACTCTTCTGGGAAAAGGCTTGGATTCAGCTGCTCGGCCATGGAAACCCATTCCATGAAGGTCTCTACGCACTGTTGTTGTGCTAATCTGAAGGCTACACAAAGTTTGGAGGTCTTTAGCTATTGACTCTGCAGATAGTTGTCGACTTCTGCACACTGTGCGGTTCAGCATGCCATGACCCTGCTCTGTCATTTTACGTGGTCTACCACTTGGTGGCTGAGTTGCTGTTGTTCCCAGTTGCTTCCACCTTGTTATAATATCAACGGTTGAGCGTGGAATATTTAATGGCAAGAAAATGTCACGGATGGAATTATTATAAGCACAGGTGGCAACCTATCACGGTACCATGCTTGAATTCACTGAGCTCCTCAGAGGGACCCATTCTTTCACAAATGTTTGTAGAAGCATGCCTAGTACTTTATATATACCTGTGTATACACCTGTGGCCATGGAGGTGATTGAAAAACCTGAATCCAATGATTTGGAGGGGTGTCCCAATGCTTTCGGCAATATAGTGTATATATATATATATATCTTTAAAAATATTTCCTCCCAAAATGAATCCACAGGTTGACAGAATGATATTGGATGATCTAGATGACATTTGTGTTTACTAAGCAAGACCTCTGTGAATATGATGTCATTCAAATTTTTAGCAATAGCAAACCTGTGAAAAAAGTCACCATCATCATGCTAATTTGTGCCTTTGTCAACAGGACTTACTCTTATCCCAATGTTACCCTAACAATTTAACACAAACAATTTTTTCTGCTGTGAGCACACTAATGTGATAGCTTTATAATGCCCAAATGTTGATTATATTTTGCTGTAAATAGATTGGGGGGGGGGGGGGGGGGGTTGCAAACAATTACCTAATAGTTACATTGGGAAATTTTCTTGAAAATAGTCTTTTCTAAAAAAATTTAAATATTTAATTAAAATAAAATAAATAAATAAATAAAATAAGGAAATAGCATCAGTTTCCCAAAAAATGTCCAAAATAAAGACCTATCTATCTCTAAAAATACCATGTAAAATATGTTAGAGTAGGCTGCAAAGGCTACAAGTAATAATGTGCAGAACCAAGTCATTGTGAAAATGATATTAAATGCTCTGGGACTCCAGGCAATTTAGGGAGAAAAATGTCTGGGTATTGAAGTGGTCAAGAAGACTTAGTTATCGTTTAAGTATTCTGGTGAGAGCTAGTTAAATGTTGAAGATAAGTGTCATTTCAGCCTCAGAGTGTTCATATGTGTTTACACAATGTAAGTATTTCTATGGATTGTAGTACACCTTGCAGAGGTGATGTCTGAAAAAGGCCATAAAACAATACATTTTGCTCTGTTAGGGCCCAGTTTAATTGAATACAGATGGGATAAACTAAATGAAAGAATTTAGCAGAAATCTCAGTGGAATGGCTAATAGGAGAAAGACAGGAGAGGAAATTAAAAATTATTCAAAGCAGATGGACTTGTCTTTCGGTTATTTCTCGCTGTTTTGAGGGAATAATTTAACAGGGCTGGAAAAAAGTGCCTGGGTGCCTGTTTATTTTCCACTGAAAGCCAAAATCAGGAGGGGAGACAACAGTTAGATTTGTTGGTATTTTCAAAAACCCAAGACTGTATTTAAAATAATTTTTGGTTGCTTAGTACATTTTTACTACATAATGACTTTAATTTAACAACATCATGTGATGACAATTAGTATATTTATGTTACCTAATGAAATACAAATTTCCTTTTGGAAATATAACAAATCTAACAGGGAATATGGTGGCAATTTCCTTTCATCTGTCATCTATTTTTGATGATTTTTCTACATACAAGGATTTTATTTATTGAACATTTTTTATTAGTTTCATCAGTTTTAAGAATGACTAAAATATTAGAAAATTATATCAAAATGTATTGTCTGGATGTCATCAAGTATCTGAAATGGAATGACTTTGATACTAATAGGAATATATTAGATTAAAAACGTTAAATTTCTGAATTGTGAAAAACATTAAAATAAGAACCCTGTAAAACTCCTGCCAAAACATTTTACATTGGATAAAACGGGGGAAGGATAAGAACTTATGCCAGATTTTAACTGCTCGGGAACTGGAAGAAAGGTTTTTGGCCCTGGCTCTCTTAAAGCAGTAGGTGTTCTCAGTCAGGTCATACATACTGTGTAGTGTAGAGGGAATGATTCTCCTTAAGCTGGCCATAAATGGGTCGAAATTTGGCTGATTCAACAGGGACTGGCCAAATTCGATCCATCTATGGCCTTTCCTATTCAAGAGGAGTCAACCTATTTTGAACAGGAACACTGGAAAATTTTGTCTAACTTCCAAAAAGAGGCCTCAAGGTACCTAAAAATATATACGATCAAACGAAAATAAATATTCCGGGAGTCCCTAGACCCCAAGCCAATGAGAAAGTAACAGAAAAAGAACTAGTTGTGGACTCAACTGGAATAGGAATTTGTAAATACTCAAGAATAATAAATCAAACAAAGGAGAAGGTGATCAGTGGTGCACGAAAACTTCTTTATTACAGACAAAATTAAAAGTATAAAGCAAACAAAAAAACTCGTACCACACTCCAGGTCCCAAGTAGGTAAATCCCTGTCAGGGCAAAACTCATTAGTAGAAATATAATTGTATGGATGACTCATATGTAAGACTCATTTATAAGCTATAACATGTTTCATGCAGGAAAGAGTTCAAAGGCATAATAACAAAAAAGCTCCTATACTCAGAATTGACCAGCCATAAGCGCCAGGATAAACCCAGCACCAGACCAATCATACAATGAGACTGGTGTAAATGTTAGTGTAATGCAGGGAGGGATGCAGGAAAGGTAGCAAAACCTCCCTCATACACTAGACACCAAGGCATAAAGATCACAACAGGAACTGATCCTAAACTTTTGACCGCATGTAGTCCAGAGGAGGGTGTACATAATGGTATATAAAGGCCCATGACCATCTCAAGTGCCAGGCTGTAGGGCACCATCGGGAAGAAGATCCTAACAGGCCACTGTAACCTCCCTGATACATGATCAGGCCAAGGACTAAGCTGGTGTATTGATTGATATTTCTGAGAGTAGGTATGCTCTAGAGGTGGTTTTAGATGGAAAGTGCGCTCCCTTGAGGGGATGTAATATGTAGCGGGCATAGATGAACTAGCACTGGGATATGCCTCAAATTGAAGGTAATTAGTATAGCCAGTAGACACTCAGGGTATGCAATAACTTCTCAATTAAAGAAATGGCATTAGTTGAAGTCCCTTTGATATACAGAGGTGTGCATGATGACACTTGTAAGCAATTAGAGTAGGAAATAACTTCTCAGTACACAAATTTTGGCATTATCTGAGGCATAGTCCCTTTGAATACATAAGGGTTCAGATGGTATAGCACGGGGGGTGCATATGATATAGTTTGTAAACAATCAGAGTGTGCAGTGACTCCTCTATCAAAGAAGTGGCATTATCTGAAGCACAGTCCCTTTAATTGCACAGGGGTGCA